TGATGAGCGAGGAAACAATTCGGCCAAAGCTGCTTTGATATTGTCATCTTTTGTTGTAGAGTCAACTTCAGCAACAGATATAAAATCAACATGGCCGGCTTCCTCGGCGACTACATCACCATCGAGGAAATTTGGCTGAGCTGTGCTGGATTGAAAAGCAGCGGGTAACACATGGACCATACTGATTTCCATGTTATCCAAGACTGATGGGCCCATCGGGTTAGGATCCTCCTCGCTAGCCTCATCTCTCGTCTAGTCGGCGACTACGGCTTCCGTTGTTGTCAGAGTTGGACAAAGAGACTCTTCTGCTCCTTCTTCAATGGTTTGATCCTGCGGTGCTGCTTCGGCAGCTTGTTGGTTCTGCGTGATTGCCTCAAGTGAGGTTAAGATCGACAATGTGCTTGGGGTCAAGATCCGAGCCTGCTCCTGGTAGTGTATCCGGGCATCCCTGGTGTCGAGATAAGCATCCAATCGCGAAACACGTGCTATTTCATCGGTCGTAAGGCCGAAGAGAGAAACAGCCGAAAATACTTCGAAGTGATATCGTAAATACTGAAGGTCCTCCATTGAGATAGGAAGGTCGGCTGCATCGATATCAATGTATGGGTCGACTTCAAATCCAAGGACACGAGCTTCTCGTATGTGCTGGAACCTTGCTTTCAATCCTGGGTCTGAGGTCTTCTGAATGATTCGCTCGGCATCAGGACAAGTCAGGACTAGATCAATTGTATCCTGACATGCCTTCGGCAAACCATACAGATCATTGGCCGAATGTTTCTTATGAAATTCTCGCATGTATTCCAAAGCCTCCCCGAGGAACGGTGGGTGCAAATTCCGTCGAATTTTGATCATAGGTTCTTGTATGGCCGACGGGGCTAATTTGCTTTCAGCCTCTTGCCTGAAATGCTCGAGGCGTGCCTTCATCTCAACCGGCCGAAGAAGAAGTTTGATCTGTTTATCAGCCTCTTCGAACGTGGTTTCGACATCTCGGTTGACCAACCGTTTCCCTTGAACCAACTCTGTCATAATAGCTGGAGGTGGTCGTTCATCATCAGTAACAATTGTGTCCTTCGGCCGCCATTGAGAGACCGAAGTTTCTTGGGCCGCTTGTCGGCGGGCCATGCAATCTATCCTTTGGTGTCGGCGTTTCTGGGATTTGGACAGTGCGGTGTAGATGCCTTTCGAAGAATGATATGTATACCAACGTTGATCGCTAGGTTTGGGAGGTTTGAAAGTTTTTTGGCTCCGCGATGATTCCGAACTGCTAGAATTACGTTTATAGTAGTCCTCGTCATAAAATGAAGCATCAAAATCAAGGCGCCGCCTAACTGAGGGTGCCTCTTCCATCCTCACTTTAGGACCGAGCCTATCAAAAACCCCGTGATGTTGGCCTACGTTGGCAACCTTTTGCTGGGTTGCAGCCGTAGGTCGTTCCGTTATAAGCGAAGAGGGCTTCTCCTCTGGCTCACTGCCGACCTTTGCTCTACATTTACTACACAAAACAGCTGTCCCACTATCTTCATCGGTGGTATAATCCATCATAGGTTTGACAATAGCGGGTCCCGTTAAAGCTGTAGGTGGTTTGTTTGAATGAAAATCGGCCATGAAACGTGGCCGAGAATTCTGATTCCGAAAGCGTTGCATCGCAACATCTTCGGCCTTCCCTTTCCATTTGTCTTTAGGTAGGCACGCATTGACCATATTTACTATTGCCGTGGGGAACGGGTTAGTATCAACACTCATCTTCTTCTCTGGAAATTTCAATTTGCCATTATCAATCCAGCTTTGGACGTTGTCTCGAAACATGACACAATTGTTTGTCGTGTGTTTGCTTGAATTGTGGTATTTGCAATATATCTTTCCTTTAAGCTCTTCAGCCTTGGGAATGTTGTGCCCAGGCCGAAGTTTGATGATCCTTGCTGATAACAGTTGATCAAAAATTGCATCGGCCTTTGTAATATCAAAAGTATAAACTTTCGACGGTTTCAGTGCTCCTTCAGTAGCCGAGCGGATTTTGACTTCCTTAGAGTCAACTTGAGTCAGTGCCTTGCAAACGTATGGCTTATCTATCACTATCTCAGCTGCATCCACACTAACGCAATCATCCTCGGTTGATGCATAATTGACAGCAGGATTCTTGTAAATCGTCCCCCGAGATGGAGCTTTTGAAATCTTTTCCTCGTGGAGCAAATAATCATACTGCTCGACATGTTGGGCTAACTCGTACATATCCCGAAAGTTTGCCCCCAAGAACTTCTTTTTGTACTCGATGTCAAGACCGTTCAGATCGAGTCTGACGAATTCAACTTCGGGGAGAGGTACTCGGCACCAATTCCTGGCTGATTTGAATCTAGTAAGATAATCCATTGGTGACTCGTCGGACGCCTGAGTCATCCTTGCTAGTAAGGATACTGACATTTCCATTCCCGGCCGATAAAACTGCTCATGAAATTTCTTAACCAACTCCTCCCAACTCTGGACGGAGTTCGGTGGGAGGTTAATATACCAAGCGAACGCTGAGCCGGTCAACGAAAAATTGAAAAGTCGCAGCTTGTGAAAGTCACTATTAACATCTTCGCATTGTGCGGTGAAGCGAGCTACATGTTCTAACGAGGATAAGGATGATTGTCCGGCAAAAAGGCTAAAATCTGGGATTTTGAAACCTCTAGGGTATTCGACCTGTTCTACGTAAGCTGGATACGGGTGTATAAACTTAGGGAACTTCGGCCCTTTCTTCATGGCCGAATCGATCATCTGTTAAACTTTGGTCATATCGACGGGCGTTACTTCCACTCTCTGGTCGGATCCGTCTGACCTACTATTCGACCCTCCTCCTCTTTCCAATTGAAGTGGCCTGAGCCGAGCAGGAATTGGCTCGGCCGGTGCACTTGATAATAGATTATTCCTCAGTGGAAAATGCTGGGCAAGATAGAAAGTTCTACCATCGCTGACCTTACTAACCAGTATTTCGAGTAATCTGGTTTGTGCTTCACTGGAATTGCGTATCACTTCATGAAGCTTATCGAGTCCTCGACTCAATGTCTGTTCAACCGTCTGAGATTGCTCGTCAAGCCGTTTCCGAATAAACGACCTTGTGGGTGGATCGGATCCTTCGCCACCATCTTCATCACAATCTTCTATTACTCCTTCATTGAGAACGCAGGTGTTCCTGTCGGGAATTTCAAGACTGCGAACCTGACCGCCGAGATTAACTTCCCTTTCTCGGCGAGTTGCGCTCGTGGACTCAAGTGTCACGACGCTGATGGGATTCTGCTCTTGTGGCACACGGTGTCCTATGTTCTGATTTGGTAGATCGGCTGTTGACTTTCCCATAGCTGTTTTCTTTTTTACCGATCGTGTTTCAATTGGCATGAACTTCGTAGTTTAGCACTGGGTCCCACTGGGCGTGCCAAAATGTTGACCCTAGAAACTACCAAGCCTACGTGGCGCGCAGGCTGAGTAATCTATAAGCTAACTACGTCATTCGGTGAATGCGGGCGTGCCAACTCGTCGGCCGAGCTCGGCCAAGGAGTAAATTTGTTGATGTTACGTTGGGTGCGCGGCTGACTTCTACGTCTTGCGATTGCGACCGAGGAAGGAACGCGTCTCGGCCTCTTGGGTTCTCAAACCTGAAGACAAGGTTACTATTCTTTACAAAGTTCACGAATCGTCGTCGTCGGATTCGGTCACAGTGATGTTATTCGTCAGAGTAAACTCTCGCCGAATCGACACCAAAGTGTAAGGGCACAAATACTCAAAACAGATATAAGTCTTGATGGTGAACGTGGTTCGGCCGTCCGAATGCCGAACTCTAAATCCTACTTGGGAGTATCCAATCATAAAACAACTCGGCATGCAATGCGCCGAGCTCGATATACCGTAACACCTCACTTCGCCGAGAAGGCTAATGAGATGACCTCAATCAATAAGGACCCGGAAATCCTCCTCGACCGAGACTTAGATAGGTAACCAACTGTTCTCGCCGCAGTGCTGTTGATGCCAATGGAAGATACTGCGAGATCGACTGATTCTACGGTGACAGAGCTATCTATGCCGACTTAAGATATCACTGGTTGCTTCCACAGTGCTGTTGATGCCAACGGAAGATGTGTCAGCGAAAAAGAAAGAAAAAATCTCAAGTTGTTGAGAGCTTGCGCAGGGCAGTTTTGTATTGATTTGCAGGGGGCTTGAATGATGCACAGCCTCCCCTATTTATAGCACTGGATCTCTTTGAATCCGAGTTAAAACCCTACTCGGACTAGGTCTTCTTCTCCTAATCATCACCAAACTCGACCAGTCCTATTTTCACTAGGATTGTGAACCTAGTCCTTAACCGAGCCGGATCCGCTTCCGGGTTACCAGTCCTGCCGAGACTCCTCATTGCACTAGGACTTGACTTCTTGCGTTATGACCTAGCCGACCTAGGTTTGGAGGCCCACGTACTGAACGATCCATGGCATTCTTGTCACAAGGCCTTCCGGGCCGGGAATGATTCTATACTCGACCCAAACTATTATTTTGGGCCCAAACAGTTATATGTAAAATGTACCCTTTTTTTTTAATATAAAATCCATTCAATTTTTTTAATTCATGTTTAAACTTATATGGGTACATTCTTTTTCGTTAATTTGAGAATGTATCCATGTTTTGGTACAATATTTTTTTTTGTTAATATTGGTTAATGTACCCATACATATACACACACACACACACACACACACAATATAATAGAGAGTATAATTTATATTTTATTATTTTTAATCCCATAAATTATGGGTTTTATTTAAAATCTCTTTAATATAAACAATTACAAATTTCAATTTTTTATTTTTAATTTAAAAAATATAGTAACTTGCATTATTACATTAATGTCAGGGACCTCAATCAAAAACTAAAAACTAATAAGGTTTCAATCAAAGAATATTGATAACTAGGGACCACATCTAAAGTGTCCATTCTTTATATTTATTCTTTATTCCTGAACCCTTTATATTTATCCTTTATACGTAGAAAACAATCTCATTATTTTCTTCATGTGGGGAGGGAGAAGGGATAGCGGGCTCAACTTTTGCAACCAAAGCACACATATTCCAGATGTCCAGGCTTCTCAAAAGAAGCATGATCTCATTCGTTTTGAAGGCTGCAGGGTGGTTATTTATTATATTAGCCACCAAACCAACGTGGCAGCGAAGTCCTAACCCCACAAGATTCCGGCAGCAATGGTCACTGATAGGGCTAGTTTGGTTCCAAAAGATATCAGTGAAAATTGCTTCCCCACAATCCCCTGTTAGTCGAACAGCACATGCTTCCAAGAAGTTAGACTGATCAGAGTCCCGACCGGGCAGTGGCTCCGGTGGAAAGTCCTTGACGATTATCGGGGCTTCTTCAGGAGCCAAATCAGGATCATAATTAGACTCGTAATAAGGTGGTGAGATGTCTCTAGATGCAAGTACAGCTGCCGGTGAAAGCAAGCCTAATAAGAAGGTGGTAATAACCATGAACAAGATGCTGCTGATATAATTTGACATGAAACTGGAATAAATTGTTTGACTGCAGAGCGTGGATGGCAAGAAAGCTTTTTGTAAGAGAGAGGTGTAAACCTTAACTAACGGTTCGAAATTATGCCTAGTAAAACCGTTTTGCATTCAATTTTGTTTGACCATTTTAATACCTAGCTAGTCTACTCTTAAATATTTATTTCCTTACTAATTAATAAGAGATGCATAAACAGATTTACCTTAATGGATACATTACTTTAGAATGATGCTATGCCCACTTTATTGTCCTATTTTCTCGCTCACCTTATATTTTCACCTCAACTAAAATTAAAAGGAGAACAAAGTTATTTTCACTCACCATTACTTTAGTCTAAAGAAGGCTTTTCAATTGCACTGTACAAATGAACAGTCTTTGGACCCAAATTTCACTTTATTTACGAGGCTACCATTGACTCTCTCTACTGCAGATCTTCATGCCGCGTGTTGATAATCGTGGAAAGGCAGGGGTGCGATGGTCATTTTAGTCTGTAGGGTTTCGAACGGGACAGGTGGGTTAGAGACTTTCATTTCCTTTCTTTCTGAGCTGCAGTGGGACTCAGTGAGAGCATGCCGTTGGGAGAGAGAGAGCGAGCGAGCAAAGAGAGAAGAGAGACAGGGAGGGAGAGAGATAGGGATTTGGTGAGAGGAAGGCATGCGGCCTGCAGGCAGACAGAGTCACAGGGGGTGTACGATTCGAGGGAGAGAAAGAGGGTTGGTTTCGAAAGCTCTACCTAGGGTTGTTTCAAATCTTTTGTGCTTTAGGATTAGGTTTACAATCTTCAATCTTTGCTTTTTCGTTTTTTTATTATGCTGCTTTTCTATTTCCAAGTTCTTATTTGTTTTAATAAGCTTTAATTTCGTTTGATTAGCTTTAATTATATTTGATTTAGAGTGTCTATGCTTTGAAGCTCTAACATTTCCAGGCTGTGATTTGGTTTGAGGTTTTGTGCTACGCTTTGCTTCTGTGCGAAATTTAAGTGTTTTTCTCAATTTGTTTTGTTCTGTGCATTTAAATTTAATTGTTTTTCTCAATGTTTTTCGTAATTTGTTTTTCTCAGTTTTGGTTATTTGAACACCTAAATCATGTTCTGTTTTTTATCATGTTGATTCAAAGAATAGCCCTTTCTTCTGCCAATCATTTAAACCTAAATGGTTAAAAACAGTTCACATTTGCTTCCATTTCCAAGTTGTCATTTGGTTTAAGGTTTTGTAATTTGCTTTGCTTCTATGCATTTCAATTTCAATGTTTTTGTCAATTTGCATTTTTATTTGCATATTCCAGCAAAGATAGATATTTTTTGGCCAGCCAAAAGTATAAAATGTCAATTTATTGGAGGTGCTTTTCAATTTGTGATTTAGTTTTATTCCAAGATTTGTTAACCCAATTGCCATTTTACATTTAAGTTAAGTTTCTTCCAAGATTTTTCATTTATGCCTCTGTTACTTTAAAGCTTCATGTTTCTTTAAACTTTGTGTTTTACAAGAATCTAGGGCACAGATGAAACCGTGCCAAACTTAGCATTTGGTCATTCAAACAATTGAACGAAAGAAGAAAATTATGGCAAAAGTGATTGTTTGTGAATGATTGGACATAATTTTGTTCTTTCATTCAATTGTTTGAATGACCAAATGCCAAGTTTAGCAAGGTTTCATATGTGCCCTGGATTCTCATCAGCCAAGCATCCCTGTTAATGAATCTAGATTCATATGGTTGTTGATTTGAAATTGCTTTTCACTATGAGCAGGGTGCAAGTGGTTAATTAGTTAATTGTTTTCACTCAAGTTTTGCTGATTGTTCAAATGAGTTTTATAATCACCTAAATCACGTTCTGTTTTTAAATAGGGAGGTTAGTGGGATCTGTTTTGGTAAGTCCCTTTATCTCTCGATGTGAAGCCCACAAACCCAGTAGTGACGGTTGAAAGCCTCAAACATGGCAGGCCCGAATTGGAGGTACAATGACGGTCGACAACCGCCTCCGTTGTCGATGAATTTGGCCGTCAGAAAGCATCTTACGGAATGTTGAATTTCTTGAATTTCCCTTATTTGGGTTTCCTATATGCTTTTTGCATTTGATTGGGAGTTTATAAATTAGGGTTATTGAGGATTTTGAGGTTTTCTGACTCTCTTCTCTCTTTTGTTTTCTTCCAGAAATTGCATTGTATTTCTCAGATCGGAGCTGTTACAGGTGGAGGCAAGCTAGAGCTGGTATAGATTATGAATATTAGTTTTGCACAGCACTGTAATTTTGATTGGTGAGATCATCCTAATTTAAAAAAAGAACAGCCATCTTTCAATTCAATAGTAAAGACCCTCATTCAAATATGAGTTTTGCATGGCACTGTAAATAGTGTGTGTAGTTGCAGAATTCCTATTTTGATTGGTAGCTTTGTTGTTTTTTTTGTTAAATTGATTTGAATTTATACTTGATTTACTTAATTTTTAGTATTCGCTTTCTGGTATTTTCGAATCTTTGGATAGAGTTAATCAAGAGGGGATTGTAATTTTTCAAAATTAGGCTCGACAAAATGATTGAAATTTTGAAACTTTAGGCAATTGAAGGCGTTTGATTTGAGTTTCCGTATTTGATTCAGTATGTAGTATATGTGACTGATTATGTTTTTGGTTAAGGATTGGGGATTTTGGGTTATTAGGTTTTAGTTTCTAGCTTTTGGGTTTTTGGGTATATTTTGTGTGTGTGTGTGTGTGTGATTGGAGATCCAATTGCAGCGACGAATTGAAGAAGATGAAGATCATAGTGATGAACGGAGACAAACAGATCCTCTCGTTAGACATCGATCCTTATGAGATTGTAAAACTCTTACTTTTCACTTCAGAAGAAACCCCCAATTGATTTTATAGTTCTTTCAATTAATTTGGAAGTTTAAGTTCTCCTTTTTTTAACTTGAATTTGATTTTTATTTTTTTTGTGATAGGTTGAGAATGTGAACGCTATGCTAGAGGTGGAGGTGAGAAATTTAATTTAATTCATGATTTATTGTTGTTTTTTTTTAACTTTATTTTTGTGGGGATTGTGCTGTTTTGGGGGAAAGCAATATTAAATTGAAGTAAAGTTTAGATCTTTCTGTAATTGGGATTTAGAGTAAGAGATGAAGAATTGAATATGAATGTAGAATTAAAAGTTCAGAACTTTTTGGTTTGGAAGCTAATTTTAAACCCAGTTAGCTGTTTAGTTAATAGAGAAATGTATAATGAATGCGAGAAATGTATAATGAATGTGTGATATGTTTTTCGACACGTTTGAGTAAACATAGGTGTTGCTTCAGCAGTAGCAGCTGCTATAAAATGTGTAAGGAGATGAGGAATTCTGCGATGCTGAGTGCTCTTGGTGTCAGAGATGAAATCTCGAAAATGATTGTATCCAATGCCTCCTTGAGGTATACTTGATAATGTTGTACTTTATGTGCAATTCACTATATGATGTTCATGCGTTTAATTGGAGGGGGAGGGGTGATGTCGGTGTCACAAAAAGGTTTGCATGGTTTGCACAGTCACAGGGGTGGGTGTAGGATTTTAGGGAAAAAAAGGGGGGGACTGAGCGGTGATGCTCGAATTTGGGGGGGGGGGGGTTGTTTCTGCGTGAGTGGTCTTTAGTGAAATATGGATGCATAACAGCTTTAAATTTTTGCTTTTTACATGCTTTACTACTTTCTAATTGTTCAAGTCTGTCGATCGATTGATGGCTTTTTGTCTCAAATCATGAAAAGAAACCATATCTATGAGAAGGCCATGCTGTGTTGAAACTCTAAATTTCACTCTTTAGGCCCTCTTTGACTTGAATTCATAGCCAGTGTGACTGCTTTTGCAAATTGAATTCAATTTTTAGCTCGACATAAGGTGTTTAAATTGGTGCAACTTTCCACTTCTCGATTCTCTAATCCTAGGGTTTTGGGTTTTTTTTTTTTCTCTCTTCCTCTTAGTACTTTGATTTGGGGTGACAATGATGTACCTTGATCCACAACAGCACCTGCAACATCAGCAACAACACCCTCAACATCAGCGGCAACACCCTTAACATCAGCAGCACGACCCTCAACATCAGCGGCAACACTTAACACCAGCAGCGTCAGTAGCAAGGTGGAGAATTTCATAGGCCCCCCCTGGCACCACCGGCCCCAATGATGCGTCAGCCGTCGGTATGCCCCCGGAGTATCACAACCCACCTGTGCTCGCTCATCCTCTTCCTCCTTATGATGGTTTGTACAGCCTTTGTCTTTGCTATTTTGTTCTGGTTCTTTTCGGTTTGGTTGGAAATTAATGAAGAATAAAAGAAAACAATTTGAATTGTGGGGAAGTACCTAAGCAAGAATTTGGTTGCATTATACTTATTTTGTTGACTGGGATTTTCAACTTTAAACCGCATTAAACCCTTAGAATTGGTTTTGGATCTTGAAGTTATTGAGATTTGCAATTTAAAAGGGTGGACCAGTGAGGCCAAGGGTGTAAATGATATTTGAAAATAGTGGTTTAATTTTGTTAAGAGGTTTAGTGCAAAATTTAATAAATTTTCCCTTTTTTTTATAATGAGTGACAAATGGTTTGTTTGTTGCAGCTCATGCTGACACTTTTCTTGGATAAAAGATGAGAAAGCTTACACATAGGAGAGCAGTTGATTATACTAGCACTGTCGTGCGATATATGCAGGTAAAGTATTCACTCTAACAGTGAGATATTATCCCGTAATTCGATTCTACTATCTACCTATGGAAGTGATCGAGAGGTGGCTAGTTGAAGAGGTTTCGTTTACCTAGGTAGGTGATAAGGTAAAAACAACCATGAGTTAACTATTCTAATACAAAGCTTGTTCCTAAGCTTCCATGATCCTAGTTTATTCGTCTCAAGCGAAGTAGTTCATTGATCCTAGGAGGATTTGATGACTGCTTTTGGATTTCTACTCCCAGGATATGACAACTTACACTAGCAAGCCTATTCTCACCCATTT